GCCTTCAAGTCAGTGTTGACTCCTGGTGACTGCTTGGACAAGTACCTGCATTTTCTTGGCAAGATTTCAGAAGTGGGTTGCCATTGCCTCCTTCCTAGGCCTCAGAGAGAGTGACTGACCCAAGACTGACCCCAGCTGGCTTCATGACTAAGGCAGGACTAGAACTCACAGTCTCCTGGCTTCTAGCCTGGTGCCTTAACCACTACACCAAATGGCTCTCCACTGCTCGCTTCTAGTACTCAAAATATATTTATGATTTGAATTTCTTAATTCTAAATATACACTTTTTGCATCAAGTTCCACTTGCTGGACCTTCGGATTCTAATCAAAGAAAACTGAACAAATAAATTACTTCCACAAACTAAAGTCTGCCAACTCCTGAGATAGAAAATTCAGGTTTTTTCACATTCAGCTTTTATCCTCTAAATATTTGGCTTGCAGCATAGTAAACTTTCAAGACTCTTTAAGGAATGCATCCAGATGGGGCCCTGCCACATTAATAGATAGTGGTAATGGTGGTGGTGGTGATGGTGGGAATATATAAGTATTTCTACATAATCATCCCATGTTTTTCTTCCATCTTTTTTTCTGATCACAAGAATCCATGAAGAAAGGAAGATACATCTACATCATATATTGACTGCTAGGAACTCTCCTTTTGAAGCATGCTGTGCCTCAGTTCCTCTCTGCCAAAGAATAAAAATAAGAGTTCCATGCTTCTTTGGAAGCTACCCTATACTGGGTCATGCTATTTGTCAGTCAAAACTAATACCATATTGTCTACACTGACTAGTACCTGACCCCTAAAGTCTCTGGGCACTTCCACACAGGGTCTTCAAACCATTCCAGAAGCAGCTCAGCACCTCTGTGATCTCATATTGTTGACTGTGCTCAGCAATTAAGCCATTTTATTTCTGAATTAATTGCAGTGTAACTAGAATTGCACAAAAGGCAACTGTTCCTTTTGCAAGATTGAAGTTCTGCAAGGCCTGTGGGCCAGCTGTTTTCTCACTGACAGAGACTTGCCTTGCCCTGCCCTGTGGTTCCTAGTAGCCAGCCAATCTCTTACTTCTCTCCACAGAAATTCATCCTCTATAGATCTTTTAACTGCAACTTCTTACTGACACCCCCCTCCCCAAAATGCACAGAACATGAACTAAAGTTATGTATAGAGGCATTGCTTGTTGCCTGTTCTTCTGTTTGACAGCTGTAAGGAAGACGTGACTAGCTCATACTGTTCTCAGTGTTTTGAAGTTGGCAGCAGTGATGATGAATGGGTAATCTTCAGACTAGTTCTGAAGGATTGGGGAAAGAAAACCGTGGCAGTGTTGACACAGACTGAGAGAAATATTCTTAGATGCTAAGACACAGAAATATTCTGCCACTGGGCTGTTATGGATTGTTTCTGGGAATTTCTACATTCTATAGGTGATGTATTCTACCACTGAATTCCAATGCTAGAGAGATAAAGTAGAGTTGGAAGAGTTGTAAGTTTTGTGCTGTGGTTTTAAAATATTTGGAAAGCAACAAGCAGAGAAGGTAGTATCTCCTTCCTTCTTCTATTTCACACCTAATGCAAGTAGGCAAGAGGAAGAAAAAATTTCTGAGCCAAATTTTCAATTTGGAACCTGGAAACTCTAATGGTAAGATTAAAGTCCATAAGACAATAAAAAGAGAATGCAGAATCAGATTAAAATCTGTTTAATTCAGCATTTTATTCTCACAATAGACGTTGGATGACTATGGGAAGCCCATAAGCAGGATATAAATGAAACACCATTCCCACTCTTACACCCCAGAGCAAATAGCACTGAAAGACCTAATACCTCTGATACACAGAAGAATATTTCTCTATTTTGGGAAGTATTGGGAGTCTTGCCTTCTGTTAGATTATATTGTAATCCCCTCTTAAAGCCATCCCAGTGTGTGACCATCAGAACATCTTCTTGAAAAAAATTCCATAGTTTAATTATTTGCAGCATGGAAAACAAAAAACAACCCCCCCCCATTCCATTGTATGTTCTGAATCTCCCATCTCTCAATTTTACTAGGTTCTTGATTTATGAGGATATAAAACATTACCTGATAGGAAGAGGTATCATTTGGTTCATGCTGTAATTGTCACATTTAACTATCTATCCCCAGCTGTTCTCAGTTGGAGCTCTGCCCCTTTTGTCATTTGTTTGTAATTTCTCTCCTGCAGGAGCATTCCTCGTTCCTTATTTCATTATGTTGGCTATATGTGGGATCCCCATCTTCTTCATGGAGCTGTCACTAGGCCAGTTCTCAAGCCTGGGGCCTCTTGCTGTTTGGAAGATAAGCCCACTCTTTAAAGGTCTGTGTGCGATGCAGTACTCATCGAGTTTCCTCATCATTTCTGTCTCCATTTCTTCTTCTGTAGAATAAATTATTAGGGCTGCTGGTGGAATAGGTTAGCTTTCACGCACTGTGGAGACAAAAGTAGAGCCTTCCTTAACAGAATAGATGAGAGTAGTAATATACTACTGATGAGAATGGATGGTGTGCAAGTGAAAGAACATTTGGGAAGAGAATTCTCTCTCCTGTAGTTTCAGAAGCATGAAGGATTAAGGAGGAGGATTAAGACAAGGCAGATTTAATATAGCTGGCTTTTTTTACAAAGCTCACATTTCAAAATGAGCTCTCTACAAAGTATGTTAGTATAGTGTTCTAGAATCCCATAAATTCCAAATGTGTTAAGAATGAAACTATTCAAATTCTCAGCCATCCTTCAGCCATGCTAGCTGTGAACTCTGGGAGTTATAATTCCAACATTTCTGGAGGGGTTTCATTTGGTTACTCTAGGAAAACTGCTGACAAATTTAAGACTTGTGATAAAAACAGCTAAAGTTAATGACTGACCCAATGCAGCCAAAGCAACAGAAGAAGAGAGAGGGTCTTCTGGTGGCCCTCACAAGCTGGATAAAAAGACCTAGCAGTCTGAATTGAGCTCATGGGCTGAATTTATGTGCATCATGAACAGTGCAGTAAGCAACCAGCAACTTTGGGGGTTGCCTGTGTTATGCTGCCATTATATATAATTTCTGCTCTTCTTTAGGTATTGGTATGGCCACAATCCTGATTGTCTCCTTGGTGGCCATTTACTATAACATGATCATTGCCTATGTTCTCTTCTACCTCTTTGCCTCGTTGACAAACAACTTGCCTTGGCAGTACTGCGGCAACTGGTGGAATACAGACCTGTGCCTGGACCACCATGTCATGCACACAGGGAACAGTGCTGTCCCTTTCAACACTTCTAACACTGTCAGTCCGAGTGAGGAGTACTGGAGGTAAGTAGCTTAGGCAAGACAAGGGTGGCAGGGAAGGCGATCTATGGCGATAGGTTTGCCCTCTTTGGTCTGAGGGCAGCCTCTTGCCCTTCAGATATTTCTCAACACTCATAAGCAGGGTCAGAGGTCAGTAATTACAGTGGTGCTTAAAAGTTTGTGAACCCATTTGAATTTTCAATATTTCTGCATAAATATGACTTAAAATGTGATATGCAGCTTTGGATCATTTTTCTCAATAAATAAAGGAACAAGTATAATGTTTTTGACGCATTTGTTTAATTGGGTTCTCTTTATCTAGTTTTAGGACTTGTGTGGAGAACAGATTTTTAGGTCACATTTATGCAGAAATATTGAAAATTCAAAAGGGTTCACAAACTTTTAGCACCGCTGTATGGGAGCCGTAGTCGAAAATAACTGAAGGGCATCACATTTCCTACCCTAATTTACATATATTTGTCATAAAAAATGTTTTATGTGGATGTGATATTTGCTGTCAAATATATGAATCTATTAGTATTGTTCATTACATGCATAAAGTATTTTTATCTTTCTTTCTCCCAACTGTTTAATATTTTAATGAGAATTGTAGGTTATGAAAATGGGACTGTATAGAAATCCATATAAGGCTAAAATATGCTATAGCAAAAGAGGAGGAACTGGAGCTTTATTTCAACTTAATGAATCTATATGGAGGCATTGTTCATTCTGTTCAAAATAAACTTTATTGTGTTAATAGGATTGGAAATTATTGAGAATCTTATTGACAAAGACACATTAGACAAAGAGTGTATGTTGTAATCCATGCAAATTAATGTAACATGTGAAATAGCTTTTGCATGTCCTGACATTGTGGCTATCACACACAAAAATGTATTTTATCATGCACACACATGGCACATGCAGTCATCCCAAAATTATTACTTGAAATAATACATATGTAGGAAAAGAACACGGTTTAAAGCATTTCTTAATGTGTGCTGCAAATGTTACAAATTCTTTATATAAAGAAATTTCTGTACAGGGAAAAACATCAAATCACAAGTTAAACTAAAGCCAACAGAAGAGTACGATAAACTAAAGCCTCAATTTAACTGGAAACATTAATCTGAGAAGCTGTTTAATTGTTGCTTCCCTGCATGTGTGCACACATACGTATGGTGAAAATGACACACACACAGTATTATCATATAAGGCAATCTCCACACAAATGTTCTTGCTTTTTGCTACTTGGAAATGCTTTTCAGGCAGATCTACTTTTCGTCACCTCATCATGAATAACTGGCAGAGGAACAGTCCTTCTGCCCATTGAAGTTTTTCTCTTTTTCCAAGCCGTTATGTCCTCCACATCCAAGAGAGCTCAGGAATTGGCGATCCTGGGAGGATTCGTTGGAATCTCTGCCTCTGCCTCCTCCTAGCTTGGGTCATTGTGTATCTTTGCATCTTAAAAGGAGTCAAATCTTCTGGCAAGGTAAAGTATACATTAGCAGAAGGCACCAGTGTGTTTTTTCCACCCTGAAAATATAAGCTAATCCTAGTTGACCTTTCCTAAATGTAATAATTATGACAGAAACTATCAGAATTGAAAAATATGTTTTGAGAATCCTCTCTATATTTT